GTATTGTGAGCAAATCCTGACATGCTAAGGCTCTGCTCTGGGACTGTCCACTTGAAGTTTGGAGAATATTTGGAAATGGAGAATATTTATCTTAAATTATAAAGAATGACAGGCATTAATTCAGGGAGAGTGAGGAGGTATGGAGTCGAAAACTTCCAAAGAGGAATAAAAATGGAAAACAATGCTATGTGATGTAGTATTTGATAATAAATAAAATAAGGCCTCATTTTGTTAATGTGTAAAACTTTGTAACTCTAAAGTTAGTTTTATAGTCGGTAATTATGTAAAAAAATTGTTAATAACTGAAATTGAATTAATTGAAAGTAAGATTTAGGTTTGGATTGAAATAGAGGAAAGTAAAGAGGTTATTGATTCAGTTTCTGTGTTTTTTTTCAATGCTGATATTTGGAAGTCAATGCTAAATGTTTATCAAACCTTTAAAGACTTGAAAAAGGGTCTGGGCCAAAAGTAGATTAACAATTATTGAATTGATTAATTGGTACTTTTGGTACACTCTGTATATTAAATATATACCTGTAGCATACAGACATTTTTACTTTAATACTCAGTTATTCAAGTAATTGTATTGAAGAAATCAAAATTTAATATCACTTTGTCTGTGTTTTATGAGGCATATCTGAGTAAATATTGTGAACGCCTTATGTACACAATAAGCACCTAATTTCTAATATAATACCTGGCAATATTACTAGTTTTATTGCCCATTGTTTGCAGATCCATTGACGTCAGGAAACTATGTGGAAATATGACAAACACTAAATATACGTTCGGTAATTCAGAACGCATGTCTTTTATGAGCAAGACAAAATAGCTATGTCACATCTTATCAACTCATGAATTAAGTTATATTGATATATATTAATATTCTAGTTGATAGAAGAGATTCGTCTCATCAAAATTATTTTAAAATTTGGTCAAATAAATCTAGAACAGTTGAAAAAGATCAGATATGGCAATTCAAGTGACGTAAAAATCCAACAAAAACATTTTTCTATTTCTATTTTCAAAATATTTTACCTGTGAAAATGTGTCATTCTACTTACTTGACTTTTTTGTATGTCTAAAATTGGGAAAATTTCCTCATTTTTATTGTTCAAATTTAAATCAAATTTGAGCTAATATCATCCGCATTCACATCATCCATATAAATTGTCTAAATCTATCATCTTTTACATAGTATAAAAATTGTAACAATTTAAAAAAATTTTTTTTTAATTTTTATTAAAAAATTTGTTCAGAGCAAGGTCTCGCACACTCTTATTGACAATAGGGGTGTCCGCCAAAGTGCCAAGTCTACTGAGAATGAAACAAAATATAGCAAAGAATTACACTTAAGAACATATCGATTGGCTTGAAGCTTTCCAAATCAATATGACCAGAAAAACACTGATAAGATAGTGAATTCATGAGAATCATTTACTAAAAATATATCCTGGTTTCCATAATATGTTACATATATTTTTTTTTCTTCCTAATTTTGTGACATTACTATAGTTATTCAGGGTTATTATCAATTTATTAATCAACCAATTATTACTAATCATGTTAAATCGAAAATAAATTTGATGAGATTCATAAATACAAGTTTTGGATATTTTCTTGAAAATTAAAGTTTAGATCAGAATTCATGCATTTCATAACCTAATTTTGCATCTCAAAAAACTACATTTTGTTAAAAGTAAAGTCTATTTCGAACTACAAAACAAACGGTGATGCGTGTCACGAGGAGATAACAAATTTTTTCAACCAGTTTTTTTTCTACAAGAGGTGAAATCTGCTAACATAATGATATTAAAGGAATACAAAGGCTGTAAATAACTATATCGGTTAGTGTTTTATGGCATGTCTTTGAGCAAATATTGTAAAATCCGTTGTTACACAATAAACACGCAAATTTTAATGATAATACCTGGTAATAATATAGGTTTTATTACCCACTGTTTGTATGTTGTATGACGTCAGTCGGTCAAAATAGCTACGCCCTGAAATGTTTGAGTATTTTTGTAGTCAAAGAAGAGCTGAATAGTGACTACGTGGGAAATAACAAGCCCTGAATACTAAATATGTAGATAATAATATACGACAGATATCCCACCTCAGCGGGTCAAAACAGCCACGCCTTCAAATTATCAAATGATTTAATTGAAAGTATTCTAAATCGAATCGAAGACCCTCACAGCCGAGACCCTCATATTTTGGGTTCTTTTGTTATAATTTTAATTTTTTTTTGATTGATTTGATTTTTTTTTTCTGATGTAACGTCAAATATAGCCATTGGATAAAGTTTCATAATATTTATAAATCATACTTCATAAAAGATGTTCCTGGTTGATTTACACTTTCCTATGATCTAATTTTCTGTTGTCAGTTTTGTTTTTAAACTGAAATTGTTTAAGAATGCAAACTTTATTATAATATATTCTATCATTGTGTCTTTTTATTATAATATTGGCAAATTTATTTCATTGTATCAATACATGTTTATGCTTTTTGATATCTTAGCATATTATATTGTAGTGATACAGAGATTTTATATTACGTATGTATGTGATGTCAGTCTCGAAGTATAAGGATTTAATTTTGAGCTCTGTCCTAATGTTGACAAATATTCCATTGAAAGATATCAAGGAACAATATTTCTGCCTTCAAGCAGCCCTGTACAAGTAGTTTTATTATTCTAATAGCCAAGTCTTGCATAATTGATATCAGGTATAAAAGAATAGTTGGTCATGAAAGATGAACTAAATAAAAGTTCAAGCGTAACTCTGTCAAAATTTTACTTATACAGGTTATAGGATGCTCTGTTGATGTGATAATTATTTTTCTAAATAAGTCATCATTTTTATGCAATTTCTAACTATTGATATCAAAAATGTATGATAAATTGAAAATACTCTTGTTTGGTGTAGAGAAGTTTTGTTTGAAATAAATGATAGAACCTGTTGTAGTGTAAGTGTGTTCTTTAATGGAATTATAAATTGCAATTTTCATTTAATTTATAGAGTCATCATTATTAGGATCACCGGTTAAATATTGTGTAACTGTCTCCAATAGTATAGGGTTTCCATACGCCATATTTTTCCCTGACGTGTCCTGGATTTTAGTGGTCAAATTTGCGTCAGGAAGAAATATTAAAAAAAATTTTTTTAGAGATATGTCACATTCTAGCATTTTTGTTGAATTGCTAGAATTCTGTAATCTGTATTTTGGTTGCACTACCTTTTACCTGTATTTATTCCATGCTAGGGTTTAGTCCAGAGTTTCTCGAACTGTGTGCCCCAAGAGACTTTCAAGTGTGCCGGGGCCCTTTTTGGAATTTTAGAAAATAAGCTGTTCCATTACACATAGGCATGCTTGCAACGGGCAAGCTTAAGAGAGTTGAGTATCCATAATTAATTAGACTGATAATATTATTGCATTTGCCTTGTGGTATTAACGGCGATTGTTTCGGCATAATTGTATTGTGATGTAATAACGTTTTTGTAAACAAGACGTTCACCTTCCACAATGTTGACTTACGTGTTGACTTACGTGAAAGCAAGTTTGAATGAGTTCTGGCTATCTGCTTACAAATTATATTCAATCATTGGTGCAAAAGCCATCAAAATAATCTAGCCATTTGCATCTCCATGGCTCTGTTAACACATATTTTCTGCTCTGACTGAAATGAAAAGCAAAAAAGGGAGCGACCAATCCAAACCTCCAAACAGGCTTCAACATTGATTTAACATTTGCAGAACAATTTGTTCAAAGCTAACTTTATTTTTTCACAAGTGTGCCGCAATAATTTTTTTTATTTTTTTTCAGTGTGCCGTGAGTAAAAAAAATTAGAACCACTAGTTTAGTCACTGGTGCTAAAGATTAAGCAACAAATCTGCTCCTTTCGTTTTGTTCTTCATTTATTCTATTCTCATGAGAGAAAGCTTGTGCCTTTGGATACATCGTAAATTTATACCATAAAACTAAACAGTATAAGTGTTTTGGTTGCAAAATTGGCCAATGTGGCTCACTGAAATTTTGTCAGGAATTTTGTCTATCCAGATATGGTAACCCTATAATAGTATGAACTTAGATTTGAGATGAATTCAAGTTTGAACAGATTTTATAGTTCTAGTGCGAAGTCAAGTCTAGTCACTGCACCTTCAAGTCAAGTCTCCTCTGCTTTGTTTTACAAACCTAGTTCGAGTCATTATGGTTTCATTTGCAGCAGTGAAATGGTTAAATATTAGTCACATAGACATCTGAAATTTCAATCTTGTGTTAAATTCATAAATTTGAATCATATATTGGCAACATTTGCCTCAACATCAGCGAGGCCTATTTGAAGTTATTGCTGCAACAAGCTATTTGATTTTGTCAATAACACATCAATCGAAATCCTATCAAAATAAATTGAAGTTTTTATATTCATTTTGAGCACTGCAATATTTATCGATTTTATATATCTACCTGAGCATTTTCAGTTTGCAAACTGTGGTGGAACAATCATTTATTGCTCTGTGGTTTGCAAGCTAGTTTTATTTGATAATAGAGCAGAATATTTTATCTATTTGATGTCATATAAATTATATCTAAGGCAGGGCTATGCGTTGAGGTTAAGAGAGGCTAACTTCTTATCTTTCCTTAAGCGCATATTGGAAGAATGTTGTAGCAAGAATAAACATGACTACACCATGTGTTCTGCTGCACAATAACACAAATGTATTTCTGTAAAGCTTTGTCTAACCAAAGGTATACGTTTTTAAAATAAACTAGGACACTAGAAGCAGAAATAATAAAATACAATAATTGTTAGATTCATTGTTGCTTACATAAATTTGTATAGTCATATATATCGATATCCCTTCCCATTTTTGTCAAAAAATTAGGTCATTACTATGATGAATACTGTTCAATTACTTATCATAACTGTTCATTACTTATTACTTTAATTATCATATTTTGTTTTAGAATAAATAGCACAGCCTGATAAGGCTGATACTCAAAACATATCATCTAATATTTTGATCCCATAATTGGTAAAATGGATGAATCTGGTAAAATACGAGAAATCGATTCTGCCGATTCCTCAGATGAATCTACAGAATTTTCAGATGCAAGCGATCAAATTTCAGTTCGAAATGCATTACAAGTATCGAGGCCTTCGATGCCTGGGACGGTACAAGAATTTGGTAAAAATATTTTCCAAAGTCTAGTGAAACATTCAGAAAAACATGGAACTGTGGTAGCTCCAACGTTCGTTTTCAAGCAAACCATTAAGGAAGGTGAGAATAAGTTCTGCCAGAAATTATCGTTTTGATGACTGCCCTCTTAATGGTTAATTATTGGATCTTATTTATGTCTATAGCCTACAAATAAAAACATATTTTCATAATATTTGCTTTTGTCAATATTACATAAATAACATTTTACCTTATTTGGGGTGAATAAATACAAGTACAACTAAATTTTTCTGCAATTCAATAACCATTTCATATATCCTTCATTTGATATTTTATGCAAAATAGTGAAATTTTGTCAATTTTATCTGTCATATTTTTTGGCTCGTACGAAGTTACTTCCAGCCATGCCTGAAATAACAACAGCCAAGAAAATGCCCCTTTTGTAACAATGGAGCTTAATTGAAAAACTAAAAATAGGTAAATAAAAAAAACATTAAAAATTAAAAAAGAACTGTAGTACTTAATTTGTCTGATACTCAGGGAGGATATTTCATTGTTTTTGTACAATAATAGCATGTTTCAACCAAACTTTTTTTACAGTAAATAATAAATAAATACCAATCTGACTATTGTGCTTTATCTCAACAGGGGACAATATAGAAACCAGTATTGCTGGAAGTTCTGGTTTTACGCTTGATCGAAGCAACAATACATATGAAAAAACCTCAACAACCAAGCAAAAGGCAGCCAAGTCTAATGATGCAGTAGAAAATAAAACTAAAGGAGAAATACCATTCCATTTTGAAGGTAAGTTTACACGATGTGGGTGGATTCTACCTTTCCCAGGAAACTTTTGGGCTGATCTGGACAAAAACTTTGCATGTAAGTGTTTATATCAGGGGTGGGCACGGTTTTTGGATCAGGGGCCAAAAATTTTGCCCACCTAGACTGGCGGGCCATGTAGTATGACGTAAAGAGTTACATTTTATAAACAATGTTTACAGTGTTAGAAAAGCAACAGTGGAAAACAATAAACCTTGTGCCAAAACTAAAGTTGATGTGCACGTTCGAAAGAATATATTTCGGCAACGAATTTGCAAATTGATTATAACATTTTGGCTATAACACAGACACAGCATCATCCTTCATATTGATGATAAGTGAATAAAAACAATGCATTGTTTGATAATTTATTAAAAAAACACCTCATACATGTCCATTTGTGGCAGGCTTTCAACACAGCAATAGAGTGTGCAATCGCACCATAATATGAAGTTTCATGTGGCGATTGTTCATAGGCGAGAATAATGTGGCCCTCGCGCTACGGGAAATGTGTGTATTTAGTATTTAGCCTCCAGTGGCTTAGATGTACAAAAATACTAGATTTGTACTAGATGTGTTTCACACACATTTCAAATTATCTATCAAAGACATATTATTTTATGTTTTACAGATTCAATTCGCGTCAACCATAACCTGTTCCTGCTTTATAATGAAAAACTAGCAAAGTATGGTGAAGTTTACAGAGGCTTGCAGACTCATGAAGGATCTCGAGGATTCGATCCAATCGCCATAAAATCTATCAAACTCAGCGATGAAAATAAGAAAGAAGTGGAAATCATCCGAAAGCTTCGTTCCCACCCAAATGTGATAACTGTCCTTCAATCTGGGACTTATTTCTTTGGTCCAATAGAACATTTATTCATCGCAATGGAATACTTTAAATCTAAAACCTTGACAGACTTTGTCAATGACGATCCAAAGCCTAAGACTGACGAAGTCAAACATAAACAAATAGAACAATTTGTTGAAGCTGTCGATCATATTCACATGAACGAAGTTTTGCATCGTGACCTCAAACCAGATAATATCTTGGTATCGGACAATGGGAGAATTCTCAAAATAATTGACTTTGGTTTGGGAAAACAGTTAAAAAAAGGACATTTTGTAACCAAAATGAGCACTTTACGTGTCGGTACTGATGGTTGGAGGGCCCCGGAAATATACCTTTCTGACAGTTGTTCTGGACAATCGGACATATTCTCTTCCGCACTTGTAATTCATTTCATATACACCGATGGTTCCCACCCATTTGGTGAAGACCCCGATTCATGGAATCTTAATATAAAACTATATCAAGGATTTGACCTGAGCAAACTAGAAAGAGACCTAGAGGATTTGGTTGGTTGGATGATCAGATACCAACCACAACAGCGTCCAAATACAGAGCAAATTCGGAAGCATAAATACTTTCGTGGCCAACTTGTTTGTCCTCACCCCAAGCTAAGTACGTAACATGTCACTGCGCTAGTTCCAACCTGAATAGAATTTTGAAAGTCATATCAGAAAGTTGTAATTTTGTTACATTGTAATGAAAGTCTATCATGGGACTTTCATTTTTATTAACTATTCACACCGAAACCTAAATTATACCCAGAATACAGTAATTTAGTGTTTGTAAAACCTCTAGTTTGGTTGACCACGTACCAATTTCAATTTCTTTTAGATTGGAATTTATTACTAATTTTCCTGTGTAAATGAATGATATTGACACTTTCATGTTTGATAGTACCAAATACTCCCAAGAAGGAAATTGTGAAAGTCAGGAGAGAGTCTGTAAAAATGAAAGAACAGCTTGAAGAAAAAATGAAACAGATGCAACTTGAGAATGAACAAGAAAAAAGGAAAATGATGGAAGAGATGGAAAAGCTTAAAAAGAAAATGAAGAGTAAATTCAGGCCGCTTGGCAGCTTTCTTGATTGTTTTTTTTTGGTTTCTTTCTGTTTTTGTGTTAATTTTGCCATCAAAAGTACCACGTCAACCGAAACTGGAGTTTGTTTATTATATCTTACTTTTTCTGTTGAAATGTGTGAACCAAGCTCAGGTTTATATTACAAATTTGCTACATAAAACAAATATTCTCATTGCCAGGCTTTCAAGTTATTTTTTTAATTTTGAAACATACAATTTGTTTAAAATTGTTTCAACATCGATGGTTGCATTCTTGCCAATACTTCTCACTTAATAATTACAGAAGAATTCAGGCAAGAGTCAGAAAGAATGCGAAGAGAGCATAAAAAAGAAATGAAGAAGATGCAAGATGAAAAGAGGGCGATGGAAATTGAGATAAAGAAGCTCAAAACTGAAAAGAAAGGTTTGCCAGATTTCGAAATTGTTATGTATGCTGACAGTGGCGCAGCAAGGGGAAGGGGGTCGGGGTCAACCCCCCCCCCCCCCTCTTTTGAATTATTTTGAAAACTGACAAAGTCGACAAACTGACAAAATTGGCCTTCTGCTAAAATCACTAATTGTTTTTTCACCAGCCTGGCGTGTTATTTAGGCCATTAATGCCTCTACATTGGTTTTATTATCTTTAATTCACAAATTTATGTCACGATAACACTGATAATTATTTTATATTGGTACTCGCACGGAATTGTAAAAACTGAAAAAATAAGTTTTATTCCATGAGAATTTACAGCAAATTTACGGATTTCTCGAAAGGTTTCATCTTTAAAAATAATCGGAGTGGCAGCTGTGCGATTGGACGGAGTCAGTGTCACAAATACATCTCAAATTTGTCGAATTCATAAAATAGCAAAAATACACATTAAAATAATATATTCATTCAGGGATTGATTGCATAAGAGAGAAATCATTTTTCACTGAAAAAGTCGGCTCTTTTAACAAGTGGCTAGTTTGGATTTCTGCCCATTGACAAATCACCCTTGCCTACTATGTCTCTTTAACTAATATCCCGAAATGAAACGAATAGATTTCTCCCAAAGTGATTTAATCCAGATATCAGTAAGACAAAGTGACCTGACAAACAATAAAGATGAATATTAAAATGAGTACAGGCAACCAGGCACAATACAAAGCAAGAATATACCAATTTACTTACATTTAAATGAGGCTTTGTCAGAACAGATTATCCCAATGTAAGAAACTTAAGAAATAGATTATTCATACCCAATGACTATAGCACCATTAACAAGCTTATGAGAACAGATCTAAAGACAGACTAAAGCTCTAGACAGTTAACCATAACAAGAAGTAATCAAGTAATCAGCCAATAATCGCGATGCAGTGAACCATACGTAAACACACCAAAAGTAAGTAGTACCAAGATAAATCAGTCAAATGTTCAAACCACTCCCCCCCAGTCTATGAATGCAATGAAAAAGACGATAATATTGAACATTGTTGACTCGGAGTAACTGATATGAGATTAGATGTCTTTCAACCCACACTGTAGCTCTTCTTTGGTCGCAATTAGACAAAGTTTATGTATTGGTCGATTGTATAAATTCCCATCGCTGTCTTTGATTGTAACACTTCTCACCAAGCCATCTGAACTGGGCATAATGTTGTGAACCAGTGCTTTTTTCCATAAACCTCTGGGTGCACTTCCGCCTTTAAATCCAGGTTGAAGAATTAATACGTAATCTCCAACTTGAAGATTGCGTCTTGTTCGAAACCATTTGTTAGCAAGTAATAGCTGAGGCGGTATGTGTTTCATCCATGTTTTCCAGAACACCTCAACTCTGTTTTCCGCCACTTTTAGCATGTCTCGTGGATTGAATCTCTCTTCTTGTGTAGTTTGAGGGACTACCTGCTTTGCATATGGATGTAAAAGAGTATTGCCAGTAATACAATTATATTCCAAAGGGTTTCCATCTGGGAAAAGTGGTCGACTATTGATGATATAAGTAATTTCGTTGAGAACAGTTGTCCATTCTTCGTAGGTCATAAGAGCCCTGCTGTAATTCACCACTGATGCATCGAGTGCTTTGCGAACCGAGTTGATAAGCGATTCTACTACTCCATTCATATGTGACGCGTAAGGCACATTATATTTCCAATCAAATTTCGTTTGATTCTCTGCCATCTCATGTTGAATCAACTGAAAATTCCATTTCTCGATCCATTCCTTGATAGGCGCTTGACTAGCTTGAAATGTAGTACCTCCGTCGGAAAATACAAAAGCAGGATGAATTCCCCTTATAGATACAAATCGTCTCCATGCCCGAAGGAACGAATTAGTATCCAGAGCCAGACACAGTTCCAGATGAATACAACGAGTGGTTGCACATGTAATAATTAAAACAGACGCGTTGATAACTACATTTCGAGATTGCTTTACTTTCAAGTATCCGAAAAAATCCATTGCTACAGAATTGAATGGTGCCATCTGTGGTTGCATTCGAAATGAAGGAAGTTCTCCCATGCGTTGCTGTAGCAACTTTCTACGACGAATCCTGCAAAATATACACATTGATGCTATTGATTTTAAGAGTATTCTTCCACCAATAAGAACAATACCGTCATTCTTCATATTTGCCAATATAACTCGATACCCTTGATGTAAGAACTTTTTATGATAGAACACTCCAAGAAGACGAACGAGGGAATGTTTGCCCGGAAGCACGACTGGATGCTTCATTTCCATATATAAATCAGTTCTATTCAGTCTTCCACCAATACGAAGAATTCCGTGAGAATCGAATAACAAGTCTAATTTCCATAGAGTTTTGACAGCCTTCCCAAATTCATCAATCATAGATTTTTGACAAATTCTGAATATACACAATTTTGCTTTCTCTATGTATTGTACGACATCGGCAGGTTTAAATTCCAAATTGACAAATGATTTTTGCTGAAATGCACCCTTCATCCAAGCTGTCGCTCTTAGCAAGTCTTGCCATGAAGAAAAATTATCCGCTAAATCATTATCATTTTGATAAGGCAAATCTGCTTTAACGACGTTGAATTGTCTTTTTCCGCGATATGCTTTTGACTTAGTTGGTGGTTTTTCTTCCAATATTTCTTGACGTAATTCATCTAATTTTAAGTCATCATCATTCGGCCAATATTCCATTGGTTGCCTTAGAAATTCAGGTCCTTCATGCCAAATTGTAAGCTTCTCGCAGGAAATAGGTTTTGTTAAACAATCTGCAGCATTAAGAAGACTTGGAATGAATTTGACTTCTTTTGTTAGATTCTTATGTGTATCTTGAAATTCTTGTACTCTTGAAGCAACGAATGGTTTGAATTTTCCAGATTGGGAATTCAACCAATAAATAACAACTTTGCTGTCTATCCAGAAATATTTGAATGCAATATTGTACGGTAGTGCTTTACTTATTTCATGCACCAATCTGCTCATGCCTATTGCTCCCATTAGCTCCTTTCTTGGAGTACTTTTGTGTTTGAGTGGCGCCACAAATCCTTTTGCTGCAACGAATGTTAGCTTAACTCCACCTGTTGTAGGCCACCGTAAGAACACACAAGTGCCATAGGCTAAATCTCCACCGTCTGAAAATGCGTGCAGTTGAGGAGGTCCAGTTGTGTTTTCAGGTTTTAGACATCTTGGAGTTGAAACTTGAGCTAACTTGGACATTTCTTGAACATTGTTATACCAGCATTTGACCACATCATCTGGCAAAGTTTGGTCCCAGCTAAATCCATCTGCCCAGATCTTTTGAAGATCTATTCTATACTGCATTGTGACTGGAAGTAAATAACCCAGAGGGTCCCACAATTTCATTACACATGCTAATGCTTTTCTTTTAGAAAATCCTGTTTGCATGAAAGAAATGTCTTTGAATTTTGAACTGAAACTGTCATCAGTTTTATTCCAGGAATGACCAAGTACATCAACAACTTTTTCACCAGGATTTTGATCTACTTCAGGATGGTTTGAGTTCCAAATCTTTATAGAGAATTTTCCACGAATAAGTATTTGATCAACATCATTGATAACCTTGTTTGCAAGAATGTGATTCGAAACAGAATGACTGACGTCATCAATGTATGTATCTTTGTCCAATACAACAGCTCCAAGAGGATGATCTTTTCGAAATTTATCGGCTAAAAATTTAATTGTAAAGCATGCCAAGTCAGGACTAGATTTATCTCCGAACATAACCCGAAGCCATTGAAAGATTGTTGGTTGCAACGATGAATCACCATAGCGCCAAAGGAAACGATGAAATTTCTGATCGACTTCTGCCATTTGAATTTGATTAAACATTTTCGATATATCACCAGCAATAGCCACACTATCAGCTCGCCATGCCATGAAACATCTGAACAAAGAATTCGCAAAGCTGGGGCCTTTCTCTAAACCATCATTGAGACATGTGCCCTTAAAAGGACACGCAGAATCAAATACTATTCTTAATTTTGTTGAGGTTTTATCCGGACGTTCTACGATACGATGATTGAGGTACCATGCATTTTCAACTTTAGCCGTTTTCGTTTCAACCGGTGTTAGTCGTCGTACTACGCCTCGCTGAAGCAGATTTTTAATCTCCATATTATACTCTTCCGTTTTTCCTTTTCTATACAATTCTTGTTCCCGTTTTTTCATTTGTTCATACGCCTTCTCATAATTGTTGTGCAATTTTTCTGGGAAACCAGGTTTCCATGGCATTTTGACACAAACTCGGCCATCAGCACCAATATTGGTTGTCGCTTTTACATGTTTGATAAATGCTGATTCTGCAATTTCTGAGTTAGAACAAACACACAAAGTTGTGGGTTGCACTCCAAGAACTTCACCATGGAAAAACTTGCGCAACTCTTCATTTTCTAATGATGAAAAACTATTAATATTTGCTACATGATTGAAAGATCGTTGCGGTGCTTGAATAATGCCTCCATATAGATAGCATCCAAGAGATGTGAAAGCTGCTGAAGGATGATTATCGGGATCAATTGGCGAACGTAATGAATGCATTGTTTGAATTAAAGGTGCATAATCTCTACCAACAAGAACATCGACTGTTTTTTGCCCAACTGGTATTTTATCCTGAATTCCTCTTAGATATTCAAACTGTTTAAAAATAGATGGCGGAATTGGTGTAACATCGTGACAAGGTTTTCTCACAGCCGTAACTCTGATATCAAATATCTGGTCTCGTGAAAGAGGTCTAATTTTTAAATTATAATCTTCAGAAGGTTCTTCATGAATGGCTCCTCCTGCGACACCAAACCGAATTGTTCCATGACCTATTGCCTTTTGTTTCAATGATTTTACAAAATTACGTCTTACCAAAGAATGGTTACTGCCACCATCAAGAAAGAAATTTGCCTTGATCCATGTTTTGTCACTCGCCTGCACTTCTGCAACAAGTAATGGAGAATAATCCAAATTAAAAGCGCTCAATTGTCTTGAATGCATCTGAGATTGGTTGAATACTGCTGCATTAGAGTGAATATGTTGACTTTCCAAATTCGAGTCGTTCATACCAGAATTTCTCATTGTATTGTAATTTCCCTGTACTTTTCCGGGACATAATGACCAATGATGCTGTCTTTGGTTACAATTTACACAGCTATCGGCTGTTGTTCTTGCACAATTTCTTGCAAAGTGAGTTCCTAGACATATAAAACATCTTCGATCATCTGCTATAAAGTTTTTTCTTTCAGGAATTGATAGGTTTTGATATTTGTTGCAGTCTATAAGGCGGTGCTGAATTCCACATCCAAAAATACAAGTGACTGTCCTTTGACGTGGCTGAACTGAACCCATGTTATCATTCTCGTCTGTAGCATGATTAACCGTATTGAAATTAGATCTTGGCGACTGGTTTTGTCTCGGTCGAAACCTCATATTCTCGGTTTGACTGATAAAGTTACCAGATATTTCCAATGCTGTAGCTTCAGATCTCAGAAAATTCGTTATAGATTCCAAGTTATGATTACCTTTGCTGGAACTATTATATCGCAGTGCAGTGTCTGCATCTAGACACTCTAATGCTCTATTGACAGAAATAACCGAGTTTGCATCCTGTTTTAACCCAAGATCTTCCATACGTCGGCAGAAGAGAGAAATTTCGTGAGCTAGTCGCCTAAGGTTCGCTGGATTACGAGAGGTCCTATATAAAGGTTTTATTTGCTCGTATTGCTTGATTACTTCACGTTGAACTACTGATTTAGGAATACGCTCTTCCAGGCGTTCCCATGCACTTGAAATTGATTTACAGTCACATATCATTGTTTGATAATCGTTTGGCATTGCACCATTGCGTAAAAGCCATGAAATTTGCACTAAATCATCCGTAATTCTAGCATGGTGCATTATATGTGTAAAACGTTCTTTCCAGGTATAAAAGTCTACTTTTTGTCCGTTCCAGCATGGCGGATCCATACCACATAACTTAATCATAGGAGGATCATTATTATAATTGTTTTGAGTGGTTACAAGAGATGATATCACCGGCTTTATATCTAGTTTGTCTTCATATTTCTCAAAATCGATTGCAATCTTGTTTTCCACACGTAAAATTTCTTCACTAAATTTAGATATAACGGGTTTTTCCTCACTTTGTGTAGTACTGTCTTCTTCAATTAGAGCCAATTCCATAGTATCAATTAGACAGACCAAAAATGCTATTTTATCGTTAGCATCATGAAACAGTATTTTGACCTTTTCAAAATCTCTTCTTTCCAGAGAGTGCTCAAATCGTGTTAAAATTCTTTCCAAATTTACTTTGAGTACCGGAAACTTACTCTTGAGTTGTTTGAAATTCTGACCTTGAAAATATTCTGCCATTGTTAGTTGGCACTCTTGCTTTGATGTATTGCTGAATCCTCGAAAGGTTGAAGAAGAACTGCTTGATTCAGACTCCAGTTTGTAGGTGTAGGTGCAGTATCATTAAATGTCACTAGTTTGGATTTCTGCCCATTGACAAATCACCCTTGCCTACTATGTCTCTTTAACTAATATCCCGAAATGAAACGAATAGATTTCTCCCAAAGTGATTTAATCCAGATATCAGTAAGACAAAGTGACCTGACAAACAATAAAGATGAATATTAAAATGAGTACAGGCAACCAGGCACAATACAAAGCAAGAATATACCAATTTACTTACATTTAAATGAGGCTTTGTCAGAACAGATTATCCCAATGTAAGAAACTTAAGAAATAGATTATTCATACCCAATGACTATAGCACCATTAACAGGCTTATGAGAACAGATCTAAAGACAGACTAAAGCTCTAGACAGTTAACCACAACAAGAAGTAATCAAGTAATCAGCCAATAATCGCGATGCAGTGAACCATACGTAAACACACCAAAAGTAAGTAGTACCAAGATAAATCAGTCAAATGTTCAAACCAGTGGCATAATTGCGGCGACTGTTGGGCGTGGACCTTGAGGCGGTGAATTTGTATTTTTGATTTACTGGTATACTTTATATGTATTTTCATGGTATGAAGTAAAATTATACTAAACAGGATTTTATATAAGATATCGAGGTTTTACTAATGGCGATAACGAGATCGTAAGATTGCAAAAAACGTATCAAAATTAAATACATCAGGCAGCTTGTATCATATTTTTATGTGCACAGATCGATGTGGCATTTTACTGCAGTAATGTTTTTATTTTGACGTAAGAAGTCGCAACCGAGTTACGTTGGACACAATTAAATTAATCTATAAGGACATTTCAGAATCTCGTAATTGTCTGGATGGAATATTTTACGCGACAGAAAATTCATTATACGCTGAAAAGGCGACTCTATCAACGAGCGCGTTATCGTGGTGACTGTTACAGATGGCACTGGGAATTTCCGATGTTGATCCCCCCCCCCCACCCCTTTCAAAAATCAAGGCTGCGCGCCTGTATGCAGAAGAGACTGGTTGGAATACGCTCACCTTCACATCTCTGATTACCATTCATGGATTCGCAGGATCGAATTCCTGGGGAGTTAATTATGTGCAATAATATTGCTGGACTCCTTGTAGGGTGCTTCACGTTACCGCTGTTTGGGTTCACCATCAAGTCCATGCATCTGAAAATAAATAGCTGACTGAAAACTTATCCCATACCCAACATGGACTGTTAACCGTCCGAGCAGCCATGGTTTGTCATATGATTATTCATTCATTTTCCTCTCCCGCAGGTTGAATATATAAATCTTATTCTACCATACCATACTAGCCATATTATTCATGTTACTAATTTTCCATCAAAACCATGAAACTGCGGTTTGTCTAGTATCCCAATTCCCAGCTTGGGGTCTTTAGTTGAACATTTACTGTCATGAGTGTTTTGAAAAAGTTAGTCAATATCAATAATTTTCACTCTTTTTTTAGATTTTGCTCAGCCTCCCAATATCTCTGCAACAAACCAGCTTGCTGTTTCCACTAGTGCAAACAAGTCCATTTCTCAAAAGACTGCTAAAGTCAAGTGTCAAGGTAAATTTTGTTGAGACATTTCTCCTGTTAATAATTATTTTCAAATTGGTCAAATATAAATCCATTTATTTTATTACAGCATCCTTTGAGGCCCATATCAAAAACACAAAAGAGTGAAAATACAACTAGACACAGTAAATGTAAATCTGAATATGAATTTGTGTATTATCATACCTTGGCTTTTAAACTTCTATATCACAGGCATTTCCTATGACTTTATAAATAACAAACAGTATTTCTGCTATACGTTTTGATTTTATCAATCCAAGTGCAGAATCTCAGTCTTCAAGTTAAAAATCAAGGCTCCAAATCGGGGTGGGCAATTACTTTCCTGGGCCGGAGTGGGCCAGTTCTAGATAATAGACTTGCTTACTGGGCCGGAGACTCAATATGAGACTATAAATAAAAACAGTTTATTGCATTTCGATAATAAAAAAGTGAATCCGCAACCACAATTTTTGGATTGAAAGGGGCAATGTAAAATATTGAAAAATAAAACAGAGGGAAACACCATAGGTTTTGTTTTAGGAGGCACGCAACAGATTAAAAATGCTGTTAAGACTGTGTAAATCGCAAAATTTACGGCACACGTTATGTAGGGTTGCCTTTGAAAATTTTATCGTTTATCGGAAAATATGAATTTCCCAGAAACATGAACTCCCTGGAATTTTTCCAACGACGATATTTTAAAAATAATCATAAGTGCCAAATTCCAAGGTCGCAAAAATCTGAATCCAATTTATTTATGATCCGGTCAATAGTGTATCGCGTATTCCATGTCCGTAGAGTAGTGCTTTTATTTTACCTTAGTCGACACAATGAACATAATCAAAATAATATGGCAAGACATTTTAAATGCCCGTATCAGCCACAGATTAAATATTTTGCGCAACAGCAAAATCATAATCCACTGAAAAAGTCTATTTTAAAGAGTGTCGCAATCCCAGCACTTGTTTTAGAGTCGTTGCATGGGAATTTTTGATTCCGATTTTTTGGAACCCCCCTTTTTAAAAGTCCTGGATACGCCCACGTAGGAGCTGTTGTGCTGATTTGTGCCGAATGAAACACTTCTGCGGGTCGGATCCGGCCTTCGGGCCGTAATTTGCCCATCATTGCTCTAAATCAAGTGCAGTTGCACTGTTTATTAATGCACTCCACAAAAAGGCTTTCAATATTATAGGTATATTAACCAGCCAAATACTCCTATTTATCGATGACAGTGAATTTTATAATATTTTGTCTGATGCATATGACATATTCGAAGTTGTCTATGTCAGTGTTGTTTTTTACATCATAATCTCAGAAATTCGATACATTAAATTTTTTTGATACATTTCTTTACATGAAAGGATACTCTTGCAGCCATTGATATGTTAAAAGGCACTTTATTTAAAAAAAAAGAATTTTCCCTGTAAGGCATTGCCGGCCCAATTTATTACACACTTTGACATGAGGGGGAAACAGGGTTTGAACCTGAGATGTGTAATCTGTGAAGCCTACAGTTAAGTCTAGCGATTGAACCACTAAACCATGACATAGCCCAAAGGGCGTTAACTACTAGACCAGGGGTTCCCAAGCTTTTTTCAGGACGACCCCAAAGAAAACTTTCAAGTGTCCAGTGTGCATCCCCATTTAAATATATATATGTTTTTAATGGAACGTTAGAGCAGTGGTTCTCAACCGGGGGTCGATGGCCCCCCAAGGGGGCCACGAATTATCTCAAGGAGGGCCACGACACAAGGCTAAAAATTGACCACAAAACGACTCCGTTTCCATACTTTCCTTTTAAAATAAAATTCTTCGTTCATGCGGTATTGCGATCGCAGGGTGTATTCACTTTCTTGTGAGGGAATTGTTTGATCATAATGGAACTTGGAATCTACCAATCAAAATAGTTTGCCGGTAGGCCGTCTAACCTGTAAACGGGCAGTTTCACTAGACTGCGAGATAACCAACGCTATCATATTATAGACGCAAAACCTATTTGTAAATTCCCAATGCCCAAAATACGTAAATGGCACGACAGGTACGTTGGATTTGGCTTGACCAAGGTAAATCGAGATGAGAGAAAATGTGCGCAATGCTTGCAATCTTGCATTGCTAGTGTGTAATTAGGGTGACAGCACATTTGAACCTATACATTTGCATCCGTATATCCGCAGGTTCAGACTACATCCGGATGCTAAAATCCATAGGTTAGCGTTAGTCGGGGTTCAAATATCCATAGGTGCAATAATAGTATGCAGGTGGAAATGTTTACGGGTTCAAATGTAATGGAACCGTAATTAGCAATGAATCATTACGTCCATCTAAACTTCAAAACCACCATGACAAAAATCATCCTCATGTGAAAGAGGTTGATATCGGTTTCTTGGATGTCAAGCGAGTTAAATTGACAAGACATTGTCCAAGTCCGGTTTTATCAGAGGAAAAGCCCGCTCTTGAAAGCAGCTATGAAGTAGCATATCAGATTCTTACCCACTAATTAGTAAGAAAGCTCATTCACTTCTAGTTCAATTTGCCGAGTTCAATGTTAACAGTGACATTTGTTTGGCTATATATTTAAAAGACTTCCTATTGATTGTATACTAAAAAGCTTTCACTTTCTTGTCTGTGGTTTGCTTTCGTATTCCATAAAAGATCGTAAAAATATAATACAATCCAACACGTTTAGTTTTTTTTAAAATGGCGAACAGGGGGGCCACGAGTGCAAAAAGCCGCCGGAAGGGAGCCACATGTGGTGGTATTGAGTAGAATAAGCTAAAACCAAACAGTGATGTCACAATAAGCACCTACATTTTTTGATAGCATAAGCATAGAGCGTAGCCTATGGGACTGTTTTACTGTAAGCCATGGTACAAACTGCTAAATTTAACATGGTTTGTCAAATCTTAGATGTTTTGTACATCCTCTACCATACCTCAACGACCCCGCCGACCCCATGACCTGTTTGCGATCCTACCTACTTATCACTCCGACCTCATTTGGGGTCGCGACTCCTGGTTTGGGAAACTCTACACTAGACCATGGTATTGCCCAAAAACCCAAATAACCACACAATAGCTTAATTACATCTAGGTACCATAATTTTCATTTATTTATTTTATAATTATTTTATATATCATGGCACCTTTTAAATATCTTTGAACCCTCAATCACAAGTATTTTTGCTTAAACAGGAACAAACATTATTTTTGCTACAAGTTTTGATTTTATTTTTATCCAGGTGCTGAATCTCAGTCTTCAAGTCAAACTACTTCTGGCCTAAGAATCATCAACCAACAACCACCTGGTGGGGGGATAAGAAGGAGTGTCTTGCGAGAATCACTACCAGGATATGAAGGATATGGGACTCATGTCATCACCTACTCATTTCCTGCTGGAAGTCTGATGGTGAGTTATGAAACAAATTTAATTGTCGGTTGAAAAATAAATTATAGATTTATTGGAATCAAGATTCTTATTCAAGAAGGTTCATGTTCTTAATATCAATCCCCATTGCACATCAGCATATTCGGACATCGATTGATTTAAATTTCTTTCCTGAATTAAATACCAGTGCAATAAATAGAAAATTACAATTTGGTAAAAGTAATATTTAGGAATGCCCATAACCTGATATTTATTCGTCTTAATTTTGCATGTTAACTTTTTTTACTGGATGGAAAAAATAAACTTGACTATGACTATGATAGTTTGCCTAGAATTCTTTGGTACAATTATTGTTATTGTGAATTTCTTGAATTTCATTTCTTGATTCATTGAGGGGTCACAAATATATATTTATTGTCAATCAAGAAGCAAAATCATTATATATGTCAAAATTTACTAAATACAACACGATGTGAACAAAAAACGTGGATGGAAAATAGAAAATTTTCTGTCATACCCTTTGATTTCATTAATGCTTCAAATATGGTGATTTTGATATAATGGCAAAGACATTCTTTATAATAGTACTGTCATGTTACTTTTTTATGCGATGGTTATTCATGTCTTTTGCTTGGAACAAGGCCCTATTCAAGCAGCCACAAATATTTAGTAGGGTGGTTCACGTGACCACTGGTCTGTTACAGCCTCCTCCACCATCAAGTCCATGCTTCCGAAAACGAATAACTGGCTAAACAATCACTTACGTGTTATAGACTGGTAACCGGATGAGAGGCTGTGGTTCGCCACTTGATTAATTAAGTCGTCTTATCGGATTTTTTCTCCCCAGGATAAATATGTTAATTCTGTCATATCTTATATTTAATGAAATTTAAGCTATCAGACACTGATATCTAATGATATTTAAGGAGATATTAATATTTCGAATTTTCTGGTTCTGCATTTCCTATCCAATTTATTTCAACCTGGGTGAGGTGGTTGGCATGGATTTGAACCGAGATGTTCAATATGTGATGTCAGCTTAGTTCAATCAAACACTTCAACCATTAGGCCAACTGTTTCAAACTTTTTGTTTGTGCTGCGCTAAATTATCAGGGAAAAACTGCTAACGGCGCACTAATGAAAAAAATTCAATATTGTGATACTTAATATGTTTGTAAACATATACGCCTAATGTCAACTTTTCTCTGCCTGATTTTATTTTAAAACTCTAAACAAACTCAACAGATAAATAAACTGCAGCTTGGAAAATTGCAGCAAGCAGTGTCCATCTTTATTGTTGCGTAACACTAGTGCACCGCTGTACACCCTTTGGTAACCACTGCGTTAGGCCATTGCACAGCCCAGAAGCTTGAAAGAAGTATTGCTAAATGTTTGCATTCACTCACATGAGATATTGCTTCTCATACAAATATACAGAATCAGGCAGTATTTTGTATAATGCTTATATGGGTTGACCCGGGTTCATGCTTTGTCCATCTATAATTAATTTAAACTGGTATGCTGATTTAATTCAGTTCTAATGGAAAGCGAAGCTTTGAAAGGTTTGTTATTAAGAAAAAGTTTGAATATAGAAGCCATTTGTGCAGTAAAATCATAACATAGCCATATATAGATCATGCTTGTTGAAACTTGAGTAATATTAAACTCGTGGTTTATTTAAATTCAATTTGTTCATAGAATTTAGTTCTTCTATGTTTAATTCAGAATTTGATTCAATGGTGCAGTAAAATCATGATAAGCTAAATATTTAGCGGGCTTACTTATAATTTCTGATTTCAATGTTTAATTAAGTTGTTGGGTTGTCAAGTTGAATTAATATATTAGAAACACCAAGTATTTTTTCGGAAAATTTTTAACTTCTGCTAAACTTTCAAAGATATTCTGATATTTATATCAGTTTTAACGAACCCCCAGGTATGAGAGATGATTAGTTTTGTTTGTTTCTTCAGGGGGTTTCATATGAAGCTCAAGAATTCACTGAATATTTGCCATGGAATGATGATGGAGGGAAATGTCTCAACTTACTCTATCAAGCATTCAATGCAGGATTGATTTTTAAGATTCAGGAAGTTGGTGACAGAAGAGGAAAAATTGTTTGGAACGATGAGTTTCCTCATAAGACTAATAAAACTGGAGGACCTGAGAAGTGAGTACTTTGTGTGTTTTATATTTGGTGGTTACTTACTTCATAAAATGTTAAGAAATAGGAAGGAATAACACAAAATTCAAAATCTTGTTATGTATTGCACTACGAAGCAATTCAAAATTCTTTCAAAATCCTTATTTTGGTATCTAAATTGTCATTAATGGGAAATAATAAAAAATGGGATTCACAACCCCTGGTATTTAAATTATTGCTCATAATGACCTTGGGATTTATTTTCATTCGAAGCATAAAGACATATTGGATAAAATAGTTTTCCTAAAAATTATTCAAATTTATTTATTTGGATTTTACCAACCTTGCTCAAAGGAAAACTAAGCTCATTTTTATAGGAAAATGATTTATGTAATTCAGAGTGACTTAATGTTATTTAACTGCCAGGGTCTGGTCTAAAATTCCGGACATATCAACCTATCCATTATGACCACGACTCGTATTTATTAAATAGATTAGAAATTTAAATTATGATTCTAAAATGTTGTATTTTGGGCATCTGCACTATGGTTGTGGTTCTCAGTACCAATGGTCTTCTTATAATTCATTCTGAATAAATCCCAAGAAAGGTTGAACTTTGACATTTATTTGGAAGTCAGAGTCATAATTTGTTCCTGTTAAGAAGTTGCAATTTCAGACTTTTTAACAGAAACTAAATTGGTCGCTTATGATAAATTTAAATGTTGGTGCTCTTGAAGTATTCGTACCAAAATGGTGCACGACCTGACATAGTATTAAGTACCAAGTTAGTTTTCAGGTTGTGCGTCATCTTGGTACAAATACTTCCGGAGCGCCTAAATGTTTGTCAACCAAGAGTTTTTTCTTCAAATCCTAGGTGCAAGTTCTGTACTGCAATACTCTGAAGTCAGGATCCATCATTTACCAAACTTCCATTCTTTTTCTATGTACATGTTCAATGAGAGTTCATAAATTCATTTTTTCAGTAACGGATATCCAGATTCAAACCATACAATAAAACTGCAGGAAGCATTGAAGGCGAAAGGATATGAGTATGATTCATCAATATGGGTGAGATAATTGCAATCATTTGACTCTCTGGCAAAATATTGCTTTGCCCACTTTCCCCAACATACATCCATATGAATAGTCTTAAATTCCTGAAATAACAAGTTGGATCACTTGAAACTGAATTGAGTAATGAACTTGCATTGGTATCGAAGGTAGATAAAGGGTTGCTTGTTTACATGAAATTTTCTCCGATTCTAATAATTCGATTTGAAAAGCCCAGCCCGAAAGACATCATAAAATGCTCTACTGTCACATATGATGTCACAATAACATGGTTTTGAAGCTTTTAGAATGCAAATTCAATAGCGCAATCTTCAATGAGACACTCCATCTGCTGGACAGTTTTCATTGACAATATAGGTTCAAGGTCCCACTTTTACATCCACCCAATTCTTTTGAGTTCAATCAGTTGCTCTGTCATTTCTTTATTGAAGTGGTGACAAACAGTGTGTAGGATATGGTGATTTGAATAATAAAGGAATAAGTGTTTTTTTATTCCACGTTTTCATGTTTTTACCTCCAGACAAGGCTCTGTGCAAGCATCCAATGATATGTAAATGACTAATATTTTTCATAGATACTGCAATTTTACCAGTGAAAAAAATTAGCTCTGTAGCTTGTAGGAAATATCAAGCTTGGATAGATAAATAAATATAACAAAAACATAACTTCAACAGATTATGTCTGAATACGCTGCCGTATTATAGTCAGCGTATAGATTAATAAATTCTAGTTTTATCTTATTGCCTCTTATTAAAATTATATTTTCACTTTTTCTTCCAGTAAAAATTTTCTTCCTCTTCTCAGTTTCCCTTCCCGGTGTTCCGAAGTTGACGAGATCCAGAAAGATTTCCTACAACACTGATTGTACTGTTCCCTGCATAGGATACTGAACTTGCTTCATTAAATCTATATCAAATGCCAAAACAATATTATCATTGCAGCCATTGTGCAAATTATGTTCTTGATCAAATATTACAAATAAAGAAGCAAAGAAACTAAATATCATAACAACATTTTATATTCGGAATTATATTTGTGCCATTTGTGTAAGGCAAATTGACAAATAAGTAAAATGCCCTAGGCGGCTAAAGCTTAAGACTTAACTGCGCTGGCATCGTTGATTACACATTGCAGGTTTAAATTCCACCCCCTCACCTCTCCAATGGCGCATTAGATTGAGTAGGCAAAAAGAAAAGATTTTGAACCTTTCAAATAAATAGTTGCTCCTCACATATTGTTAAATATCAGTGACTGCTATCATATAAATTAATATTTTTGAGGCATTTTTTTATAATTCTCTAAATACTCCTGTTTTTTCCACAGTCTACAACACTCCGGGTGAGGTAGCGGGCATATGATTGAACTTGGGTTATTTAATCAGACATCCCAATTCCCAACATAGTCGAGTCCAAACACAACGCTAATAGGATGATTGTATTGCCAATATATTTAATTTGGTGGAATCAGTCAGCAAAACGCTAGGTATTCGCATTAATTCTTTATTAATTATAATATGTTAAATAAACTGGCATTTTTAAGTTAGTCAAGATATCTGAAAAGTGTTCTGACAATTTGTGACAGGTTATACCCGAATGCCCATTGGTTCGTACTTTAACAAAAATTAATTAATCAAGTATGGTTTGATTTAAAAAATGTCCAACCCAAACCTGTGTTATTGAGCTCATGAATTACGCTGAATAGATTATCTGTATAAATCTTTTTACCCTGGGTCCTAATTGCTATCCACAACTAAATATCTTATTAATCTAAGTTTCAATGTTGTTTCTTATGCATTTTAATATATTACTTTTATGATATATTGTATAATTATTCCGTAGCTTCCCCGCTTCTGCTGTAAATAGATCTATACAATTCTGAGCTTCTAATTGTCAACCACCGCTGTATATATATCAATATCCAATAGTATTTTTATAATCATGCAACCAAGCCAAGTTCTGTATAATATAAGGTACTACCGAAGTATGTGGACCAAGATGGCCGACACCAGAACGTAGTATGTGTACCAGGTTAGGGTTAGGCCATAATTTCAGGTACAATTACTACGGGAGTCACTTGGCTAGTCCCCCAACTTGTAATACTAAAATAAGGAAAATTATGGCCTTGGTACACAACTATGTTCCGGTGTCCGCCATCTTGGTTTACATACTTCCGGATTACCTAATATAAAGCATCTGACAATATACAAATCAAGAGTTCCAGCAAAATTATTTTTGGTAAAATGTGTGACTTTGTATTCTCTTGCACATCAAAATTAATTTGGCTATGTGCTGAAGTGTATTCTATATTTTATATAAAACAAATTTAATAATAATATAAACTAATGTTTTAATATTTTTATAACAATTTATGCGACCAAGCCAATACTGTATTTACAAACTATTAAAAGATCTGACGCAGAAATACCACTGAGTTATTATTCCAGTAAAATATTTTTTTATATGTTTCAACTTTATAAATAATTTGATATGCATTAAAGTGTTTTCCAAACCAATTTGATATAAAGAATGTGTGATCTTGCAAAATTGATTATCATGCTGAAATTGTTCCAATATGGGGGACGGCAAACTTTTTCACTCCAAATGTATAAAACCAGTCTTAGTAACCAATTTATTACACTATGAGTGGTATGGGGTCCAATTGTGAGTACTCCCGTAGTGTGTGCATCAGGTTAGGGTCAGGCCATAATTTTATTCCAATTTTCCTTATTTTAGTTCTATTACGAGTTCGGGGACTGTCTGTGTTAGCCAAGTGAATATACCCTCTGCCCATAGGTTTCAGTCTCTTTACACAACTTGATGTAAAGTAGGCAAATAAAATTAGTTACCTCCATATTGGTACACATACTTCTGGAGCGCTCAGTTGTGTATAAAATAACAAAGTCCTTGGTATAGAGATTTCTGTCTTCAAACCAATAATATTCCAGCAAATGTGCTTTCAGTTGACTTTTTAATAATATAGTTTAATGAATGAATCTGATTTTATGACAAATTCAAACATTTTTATTACTGGATAAAGCCAACATGATAGAGTATCAGGAATGTCCAATCTGATTCAAATAAATATCCAGGAAATGTGTCCTTCACTAAGCATTAGGAATATGTTCAAAAATACCATTTCAGTATGTATTTTAAATACCGGTACTAGATTGTTTATTCGGCCATTCCCTCAGGGGTGCGCAACCTTAGGGCCAGATAGCAAGTAACTGGGTAAAACTGCGGCTACCAAAGCTTTATTTAACATACGATAGTCTTCCTTGTAGTTGCAGTTGCGGCTGCAGCTTTATATACATACATGCTTTCCTGTAGTCGCAGGCACAAAAATTTTGGTTATTGATCTTATGACTCGAGTAGTTCGCTTTGCACAAGCCAGCTGTTGGACTCAGATATAGGCTTCGCAACGTAAAGGGACTGGAATTACAAAAATAAAAACTCGTTTCATGGGCCACACGTCATTCAAATATGGCACCACAATCTATTCTTCAGGGCTGCATTTGGCACGTGTGCTGCAGGTTGCACACCTCTAACATACACAAAAAACTTGTATTTACTATATCTAATGCGTATGGACTAGGACAAGACAACTTGACTTGTGGTTGAACTACCATTTACCATAATTAATTCTGAAGGTATCTGAATAGCGATGAAATTACCAAAAATAAAAATTTCATTCCACAGTATGATAATAACTATAAAATAAAAAACAATTCACTGCTTTTGTCCAGAAGTAAGACTAGCTATAGAATTCCACATACAGGGACAAGGGCAATTTTATCCGTTTTCCTCTAACCCCAATTGGTATAAAACTCTAAAATGCTAAGTCTGTCACAGATGTGCAAATATTCCAACTTTGCATTTCTTTTTTTTTTATGAATGTTCTATTCAGTTCGATATTCATTTTGATAACTACACCAGTGCGATTTTGTACTAAACCATTGCCCCAAGTAAGTACAGTACAGGGAGATGTGACAACCATGATCTGTGGTCTTTCCAATGTCATGCTTTATCAAATGCTCAAGTTGTGGAATTTGGAAACATCAAAATTGACATTGGAAATAATGTGTTCATTTGAGTGCCAACCAGAACCTCTTTCGAGTTCTTCCGAGTGTTTCTTGTCTAGAGCAAAGATTTTTCAACCTTTATGGAGGAGAGGAACCCCAACAAACATTTCGAAAGCTTAAGAACCCCTGTGTAACTGAATATACATTATAATATGCCAATCAAAAAATGTGAAACGGGAATTTGATGTAGAGTAGAGCTAAGATCTGAAGCCTGAACCCGAAATTCGAGCCGGGTCGGGCTTCTCTATCGCTGACTTTTTTTTTTAAATGAGGCGTTTTGGCCACGAGAGACCTGGGGCTGCAAAAAAAAACAGAAGTTGCCTCATCAACACGACACTCTTGCAATGACAATTCAGGGATCTCCTGACTAAAATATGAAATTTCGGGTTTGCTTCGAGCCTGCAAATTCAGTTAATTAGTAGGACTCCGGCCGGGTCGAAATTTTTGAGCCCGATCTCACCTCTAATGTTGAGAAAATGAAAGTATCTCATGAAACACACTTATTATATCCGTGTATTTAATTACATTTAAACAAGATAAATATAATAATATAGACCAGGGCTACTCAACTATTTTACCAAAGGTCCGCATACAAAACTTCAAAAATATTTGGGTCTGGACTTTCCAGACATTATATTTCGGCATCCTCAAGCACATGATTCCTCGGCCGACTAATGATTATAAGCTAATCAAGATTGTTTGTTATGGCGTTATAGTTCTTTTCATATATATTTTTAAATCTATAAAACTGATTTTATAAAAGGAAACCACATATATGAACCACATATATTTTCTCAGTACTGAGTTTTGATAGAAACACAAGGACAAAGGGGCACTCCGGAAGTATGTGTACCAATATGGAGGTAACTAATTTTGTTCGCCTACTTTACATCAAGTTGTGTAAAGGGACTGAAACCTATGGGCAGAG